GATCACAGAGAAACTTTACCTAATTAGAGCTAAGAAGCCGTCTTTAGAACGGCTTTTAGAACTTAGTTCTAAATGCCGACACGAGAATAAATATTACAAATCAAATTTCACAAATTTCACAAGCCGCCAATAATAGCTCCCCAGAGAATATTTATTTATTTATTTATTTATTTCATCGCACCAGCGGATTAATTAACTGCTATATATAAGGAGGTATGTTCTTTATTGACTAAAATTCTGTCTGACGAGCGCTTCGGCGCGAAACTCAGAGTAACAGAGAATCGATGCGTCCTCTTTGATTCTTCAACTAATATTTATATACAGAAGTCGTTAGTAGAACTCTCAGGCCAAGGTGCACCGCGCCAGGAGAATCAATAAAGATTCGCAGTCCAAACATCACAGCAAACACGAAAGTAAGTTAAAAAAAAAAATGCGCGGATGGACAACTTCTGGCGTAAAAAAGATAAAAAAATTATTATAAAAACGTTTGGGTGAGAGACGTTCTTCAGTTATTTACAACTTTTGAAATAAAAAAGGGCTTCAAATAAGATCGAAGTGCTAGTGATTACGTAATTACAGGTAACGACTAATGAACTGGTGCTAATAAAAAGATGACAAAAAACTAAAATGAGTGGCGCAACCGAAGAAGCAATGCGGCAAGCATTAGAAAAGGGTAGACCCACTTTTAAGTACAACTGTAAACCGTACCAAAATCCCAAAACAAGGCCTTTGGAGCCCGCGAAAGGGCAAATTAGCAACAAAATCCCTGGAGGGGCCCTTAAATGATATTAATCATAATAAGATCCCTTGGCAGGGCCTCTGAGTCTAATCAATACCCAAAAGACTGAAAAAATCCCAGAAAAGGGCCTTTGAACGATTAATTAGTAACGCCTAATATAAGATGGAAAATTAATTATAGCAAATTCTATTTTTAGAAAGAAATTCTTTTCTTTTATTTAAACCATGGGGTGCCAAAGAGAACAGCTGAGCACTCCAATAAGCTTCTTTTGTGATTAAAAGCCCATCGATATCTTCAGAGCCGCTTGAGGCCTGTACCTTATCAATACATTGGAACGAAAAATCACCAAGGGTGTGTGGGGTTCTGTTAAAGTGTATCGCTACTTCACAAGTTGTTTTGTTTGTGCGCATAGCAGATTTGTGATTTCGAAACCTAACTTTAAAGTCGGCAGTAGTGATCCCATGTATTGCAGGCGACATTTCTTGCAAGAAGCCAAGTGAATCACACTTTTAGAATCACAGGAGATTCTAGAATGAATGGTGTAATTTTTGCRCGTCTGAAAGCTGAGAAATGATTTAGATTCAACAAAGAAATTCTGACAGAGGTCGCATCTTTTTCAATCGTATTTAAAGCAGCCATTGTTATGAGGAATCGTTTGTGTTGTTCAACGAGTTATCACGATAATCGAAAGTGACAAGTCTTCCTGATCAGGAGGATCAATAGCTAAGCCAAATTACCTTTGAACTGGGCGCTGTCGTCTAACATGGTGAAATGTAAGCCATAAAATCGAAATTTGGGCGCTGTTTTTCTTGTACATCGGATATGTATTAAGTTTTTTTACCCCCATGGAAAAACAATACGACCGATGTGTATAGGAATGTTGACGAACCGAGTCAGTCAATTGCAAGAAGATGGGGCCACGAAGAACGTATGTGAAAACAAAAGAAAGAAGAATAACAGTGTATTCCAGTCAGCGTAAATATGTAATGGGATAGAAAAATTATTAGAACCTCTGCTGTTGCACTGGCGCATTTTTCGTAGATTATTGCAACGTAAGACTTCTCCATACAGGGAAAAAATACGGAAATGTATACCCCGAAACAATTCCATCATTTCACACTTTGTTGTTCAATAGTGAACTAGTAGCAACTATGAAAAGAAAGAACTTCCCTTGCATGTGCATAGAGATAACTATAGAATGACAAATCACGAATAAGAACCATTGAGATCATGTATCAAACTTGAGACTAGAATACGTCATCATTCTTCAAAACTGACACGTAAGCACATTCAACTAAATCCTTCACCGCTTATCGTGAAAATGACTAACACTTCATTAACGTATCCAAATTAAAGAAAAATTGTTAAAGAACCACAGAAAAGTCAGAACAGAGATCGCATGATTAGTTAAATGATTTTCCTAACGATGAATTCTTGTTAATACACGGTGTTTTTGCTTACCAGCATTCCAAAATTAAAAACAATCAAAAAACGTTTCATCTTTGCACCACTCTATCCGGTCCACGATCTCATCGACATCGTAAAAAAGAAGCGTGAAACGTTTTCTCCTTTCTCAAACACCAGCTAGCGCTGATTCAATTTTCTTTGAGAAGAAAAACTAAAACTCTTTCACTCTTTAAACCGACGACTACCACTCGATGGTAGACTACACGAAACGTCCAAACGTTCAAACGTTTTCGGAGCATTATTTGGGGATTCCCCTATTCAACAGCTCTGTAACCTGGGTCGGGTTGTTCAAAGGTGGGTTAAGATAACCCAGGGTTAGTGTAAAATTTGATTTCAGATCTGAAAGCTTCAAAAGAAAATTCAGTATAATTATTTTTGTCTACAATCTTGTGATTGGATGCTCTGAATAGAATAAGGAAAATTTTCCCAAAAAGATTTCTTGAATAGAGAAATAAGGAAACGTGGATTAAAATTTAAACCTGGGTTAGTGCTAATCGGCCTTCGAACAACTGGACCCTGGTGTCGACAAGATGATATATTTAGGTACGTTATATAAACCGGTTTGACCATGCATATGCATTTCGTTCAAAGCCTCGAGAGGTAAAAAAAAAAAATAAAGTTCAAGTTTTTATGTAAAGTATGCAAACGATGTAGATATGTGGTTAGTTTTACAGTTTATGGGAAGCAACTTCTTGACCTCCACACGTTAAACCGTCTACAATTTTGATATCCTGTTGCCATAATTATCTATAGGAATTCAGTTAATTAGTCCCGTTAAAATCTTGGCTATTAGACTTTGGCCAGAGGACAAAAAGAGAACCGTTAGAAAATCGAAAAAAAAAGATTGGTTTCCTCTCAGTCTGTTTCGGACGCGTTATCCACACCTACTTTTGAATTCTAAACACTGCTGACTGTTTGGAGTTCTCTTTGTGAAATATATAGAGAACAGCCCAGTCCAAAGGTAAATATCTACCTTAAATAAATCTTGTCAAATCTGTCCTGTCTATTTTAGTAGCCTTATCCGGCTTTCGAGAATTGCAATTGGGACAAAGTTGACTTTATTTGCTCGCAAAGGAATGAGAGAGGTAAGTTTTCCCAGTAATATGTGATACTTTACTACTCTCTGAATCTCACGACAAAGCTAAAAGAATGTTTTCTTTTTTCTTTTTTATCAAACCAAGGGTGGCAAAAGGAAATTTGAGTAACAAGAATATAAAAGTTCGCCTCGTACAGAAGTAAAGGAATTTTTCTATGATAAGTTCACCCCCTTTTAACGGCCTGCCAACATCATAGCATCTAAGGACTTAAGAAATAATTCTCTTTTTTCTCAAACAACCATCATACCAATCGACTCGTATACGTTTTGTATTGAATGTCCTTTTGCTAAAATTGACCTGACGGGAGGTAGCCAACATCTTAGTGTCGAAACGTATCGAAACCTTTTAGCTCCTGCCGTTCGAGAAGACCGCGTTACCTCAAAATTGTAACGTTGCGTGTTTTCGAACAACGGAGGGGTCCATGAATGGTGATTAAGACGAGCCTCTTTCGGGTTTCAGGAACCAAGCGAGCTCAAAAGCAAACGCTTCGAAGTACCGGAGGCGTAAATCAACTGCGTAGGGAGTGATCGATGAGGAATTGCGTCATATTTACTTTAATTTTAAAGAGGAATGGGTGCCTGTGGTCATTTTCAAACGGCATCACTTTTTTGTCGTCGAGCAAGAGACACCCAGAAAGCAGTGCTTCGTTATGTTTGTCCCTCCGATATCTATGTAAGGGTCTCGACCTTAGACGTAGCAAAAAAAGTCAGTTTTATTCCCAAAACATCGCTAAACATTGCATCAAATTCAGAAAAAAACCATCCTTATGATAACTGTCCTTATGGAAAACCTACAAAGCTGCATGCAACACAACTCATCTCGGAACAGCGAAAGTAACGCTCACTCTTGTTTCGTGTCATGAGTTTTCGCTACCCTTGAAGTGTAAATGTGAGAAATGAATGTAGTCGTGACCCGTTTCCAGTTAATCTCGTTCATGCTGGAAATATTAAATCCAATATAAGTAGTAAACTAAACCGGCATGGAACTGTTGCCAAGAACTCCTATTCTACGCCTTTTGTCACCAAGTCTTTCGTCACCTACGAGCCTCCTCTGTCTGAAACCGACAAATTTCACTTATCTATGAAGAAAGTCTTTCAAAATTTCAACGACATCGTTCCTTAGTATATTTGGTTCCAGAAGAACTCTGGTAAACTCTAACACAGTAAGGTCAGGTTGTCTAGTTTCTAGACCTTCTAAAAGCCGGTCTTGAAGGACTTCTTGAACCAGAAGTTCTAAATTCTTTCTCCAGTTCCCAAACGTCTTCTTCTATTAAAATACATGAAGCGTAAAGCCACATCTCTGAAGTCACCTTTGCTCCTTCCTTCTTCCTGTTTATCTAGTCGTTTCCACACTTTGGTATATGTGTCAAATGAAAGGGACTTCAAATCTTTTAAGGAGATCAGAACTAAAAATCTGAAAGGAAAATCACTTGTTATAATGTTGTCAGCCTGGGCAAACAAAGGAATACTGGTCACGAAGAAACGTCACGGTTTGAGTACCCGTAAAATGTTAGACCAAATTTTGAAGTTCTGATCCTAGTATAACCATACTTCCTTAATTTTTTTATAATCAATAGACCTTTCAATAATTAACTTCGAAACAAAACCCATCACAAAAATATCGCAGTGTTATCATTTAATTAATTATAAAATGAAATTGAAACCTGAGTTATCAAGTCTTACATGAGGTACATATCCGTCATTCCTCGCTTTTAGAAATTTTTATTATTATCTGTCTCAAACTTGAAACAACTGTACCTATAAATTGATATTAAGGGCCTCCGCCAATGATTCTGGCTCGCGGGACAAAAAGGACGCGCAACAAGGACGAGGCAAAACAAAACATCTGATTCGCAGAACAATAGCTCAGCACGTGCATTTAAAACTCTCGAAATTTCGTAGCCGTCCTCTGCAAAACAAAACCAAACTTTCGTGGTCTGATGACAAAAGCCTCGACGACAAAATATTCAAGTTACTATTTGGACTCTTAGCACTGCTCACATGCATTATGCTTAAGTTAAGGCCTGGCACCGAAATTAAAGGGACGGTTAACACGGCGAGCCATCTGCAAAATTCTATCTAAAAGTATAAATTCATTTTTAATCGACGTGGTCCTCAGCGTTTTCGTCCTGAATGCTTAATCCCATAACGGAGGGTCTGAGTATTTTATATCCTTCGATCTTGTTCAAAATAGTGCAAATTCACTCACCTCCTAGTGGCACAGAGTCTATCGATTGCTTGATGTCATCTAACGCAGTTCTCTCTGTTTGCTTACCGAGTTCAGCGTCTCTACACCTCAGGATGGGACCACACTTCATCCTTTCAAAGAAGCGTGCAAGCTTGTTTCATGTAAAAACAATTATAAAGATTAGAATGAAAATAATGGAAATACCATACATGGGAGAAGCAACAATAACAGTTTGACTATTACTATCGACACCTCAGTCAGAAAAAGATCCCTTTGATTTATTTCCGTGGGATCTTTCTGAAGCTGAAGTTGTTTGATACTGAGAGGAAGGTGACGTTTCATGAAAAGAAAATGTCGTACTTGTGGTCGTGGCAGTGGTTCTTGCAAACGGCTCCGGTGTTCTTCGCGAGGGAACCAAAGAAACTTCCTCTGCCTGTCCCTTTCGGCTTGCCTCCTTCTTTGCCGTGTGATTTGTGTCTAAAAATGATGTGCTTGACGTGGCCTTTGGAGTTTTCCAAAACAGTTGACAGCTGGGCGCGGCTCTGGGTTTGCAAAGTCGCTGCCTTGGCAGCCCTTGGTCTTTGCACTGCTTCCCTGACTGATCTTTACCGTCTTCACAGCAGACAGAACATGGCAGGCAATGGTAAAGCAGGTTGATGATGACAACTTTCCAGTAATAACCAAACTTACAAGAGCCAAATTGAGTGTTCCGAGTCGCAGAACAGTTCCTTCTCACTGTGCGTCTAATAGAGCATAGGGAGCATCACGGCCTACAGGGCCCTTTCCCGTAATTGTCTGAATAGGTTCCCTGCCTGCATGCCACACAATGTAGGTGTGTTCGCGGTTCCGCCGCAAGGAATCGAGGGTTCCATTCCCTCCGGGCAGTCGATACATGGTATACACATGCTTTTCTGTCCTGGTTTATCGCTTCGCCAGGTGATTTCATCACCTCTGCAACCCAAGCAACTTCTTCCATGTGCTTGGAACTGAAAAAGAAGGAAACTTGATTTTCTTTATTGAAACACTATCTTTCCCCTGTTGCAACCGTCAGATAAACATTTATTCGTTATACAATAACCAGCTAGTATCTTAGAGGGATAAAAAAGGATGAAAAGGAAATTTGATTGGACATACTCAATGCTAGCGGTGTGTGTCATTTAATTAACAGGTTATTGGAGGCTATATTGAGGAATAGTGATTTCCCGAGTTTTTTACTGGTTGTAAAAAAAAAAACTATCTAAATTGAACATAATATATTAAACCTATCGCCTGAATTTTGCCAGCCTGAGATAAACTAAATGCGAACTTACATCGCCAACTTACATCGCCAACTATTCCGGTCACGAGCCTGCCGTAGGCAGGCGGTTTCATAACAAAATGTCTGTAAACATCGCTGCCGATTTTATAGAGAAATGTATGGGAGGCACGTAAAAATTGTAAATATTCGCAATCATGAAATATTTTTTCAATTTGTCGGACCGGGATATTGATACTACAAGTAAAAGCAATCTTTTAAAAAATAAACAACAATAAAACAAGTGTGGTAAACCCTTCCTTTTACTATCTCTCGAAAACGAAGGTATATTCCATACAAACCTTATAATTTAGGTGGCGTAAACGCGTGAATCCGAAGCATCAGCATGGCATAAATCATTTCCAGAGCTAGGTGCTCCATTCGCCGGACTGGACCTCTGTAGTAGACACTCTCCTGGTTGAAAATTTAAATTTTGAAGCTCAGAGCGATTTTTCAGCCCCTTCAAATTTTGGCCGCAAAACAGTAGAAAATTAACAAACCGAAGTCCACGATAAAACTGCAAAATCCCCTGTTTTCGAATGACGATATCTTGACTGTCTTTTGTCCAAATTTCTTGAAAAAGCTCTCGTTTGAAAGCTAATTTTGTGGACTACGTTTTTCGATGCAAGTTATTTTCCTCAGCGGCTATCGTATTTGTTAAAATCTTGGTTATATAAACAATATATTCTGTACCTCACTTCGCGGCGATATGAGCCCGTTGATACAAGAAGAAGAACAGCGGTAAGAGGGGTGTCACGTAAGGCGCGCTGAATTGTC